TCTTTACTCAGCTTGTTTGAAAGACACAGAATTGCATAAGGTGATAATTATAAGAACATATTGTTGGACTTTTACATAATAGACATATATAGTAGTAATAGCACAAAAATGGAAAGGAACTGGAGCTACATAAAAATAAAGTTTCTATATTTCACTGAAACTAAGTCAGCATAAACCTGAAGTACATTCTGGTAAATTAAGGTGCATATCTCAAGCCTTAGACTGTACACACATACATACACACACACACTCAAAGAAATTAATATGTTAAACAAGAAAAAATCCACTTAATATAATAGAAAGAAATCAAGGGCTGGGCACAGTGGCTCATGCCTGTAATCCCAGCACTTTGGGAAGCAAAGGTGGGAGGATTACTTGAGGCCTGGAGTTCAAGACCAGCCTGGGCAACATAGTGAGACCTCATCTCTACAAAAAGTGAAAAATAAAAAAAATTTACATGTACCTGTAGTCCCAGCTCTTCAGAAGGCTGAGGTGGGAGAATCACTGGAGTCCCAGAGTTCAAGGCTGCAGTGAGCTATGACTGTGCCCCTGCACTCCAGCCTGGGTTACAGAGACCCTATCTTGAAAGGAAGAAAGAAAGAAAAGGAAAAAGAAAGAAAAAGAGAGAGAGAAAAAGAAAGGAAGGAAGGAAAGAAAGATGGGAGGGAGGGAGAAAGCAAGAAAGAAAGGATTAAATTATGGTGATGGTTGCACAAAGTTGTTTGTGTAAAAACAATATAATACATATGTTAAATGATGAATTAAACAGTATGTGAATTACATATCAATAAAGCACTTTTAAAAACTGAGGCTAAATATATTACAAGAAATATGATAGGAATAGAATTACCAATTGAAAGACAGTGATGATGCATACCTACACAAATATGCCCAACTGATTTTTGTTTTTTTGAGACAGATTCTGCTCTGTTGCCCAGGCTGGAGTGCAATGGCATGATCTCAGCTCACTGCAACCTCCACCTCCCAGGTTCAAGTGATTCTCGTGCCTCAGCCTCCTGAGTAGCTGGGATTACAGGTGCCCGCCACAATGCCTGACTATTTTTTGTGTTTTTAGTAGAGACAGGGTTTCACCATGTTGGCCAGGCTGGTTTTGAACTCCTGCCCTCAAGAGATCCTCCTGCCTCAGCCTCCCAAAGTGCTAGGATTACAGGCAGGAGCCACCAAGCCCAGCCCCAACTGATTTTTGACAAAGGTGAAGGAGTTATTCAATAGAGGAAGATAGCCTTTCTCAGCAAATGGCACTGGAGAAATTGGACAAACATATCCCCCAAACAAAAACACACACACACACAAACTTCTACCTAAATCTCACACCTCATTACAAACATAAGTCACAATGCACCATGGACTTAAGTGTAAAACATAAAACTGTAAAACTTTTAGGAGAAAACACATAGGAGAAGATTTGGGGCATCTAGGGCTAGACAAATATTTCTTACTCTTAACATTGAAAATACCAATTCATAAATGACAAAATTGATGAATTGGACTTCATGAAAATTAAAAACCTTTTTTCTGTGAAACATGCTGTTAAGAAGATGAAAAGGCGACTATAGAGTAGCAGAAAGTATTTGTCAACCACATTCCTGACAAAGTACTAGTTTCTGGAATATATGAAGAACTCTCAAATTCAGCAATAAAAAAGCAGTGTCCAATTTGAGCATGGACAAAAGACACGAAGGGTTATTTCACTGAAGAATTTATATGAATGGCAAAGCAGCACAAGAAAAGATGTTCAACATCATGAGCTCTTAGGGAAATGCAAATTAAAACCAGGGGAGATATCACTACACACCTATCATAGCTGCTAAAATAAAAAAGAGACAACACCAAATGCTAATAAGGATGTGGAGAAATTGCATCACTCATACATTCCTGGTGGGAATGTAAAATGGTATAGCCATTCTGGAAAAATGGCAGTTTCTTGGAAAACTAAATATGCAACTCTCATAAGACCTAGCAATTGCACTCCTTGACATTTATATCAGAGAAATGAAGACATGTGTACACCATAACCTGTTCATGAATGTTTATAGCAACTTCATTCACCATAGCCAAAGGCTGGAAACAACCAGATGTCTTTTGGTGGGTGAATGGTTACACAAGCTGTGGTATCTCTGTACTATGGAATATTTCTCAGTGACAAAAAAGAATGCACTATTGATACACTCAATAGCCAGGATGAATCAACAGAAAATTATGCTGGGTGAAATAGGCAAGTCCAAAAAGTTTCATGCTATATGTTTCCATTTATATGTAATTCTTGAAATGAGAAAATTACAGAAATGGAGAACAAATCAGTGATTTCAAGGGGCTAACAAGAAGGTGGAAGTGGGAGGGAGGTAGGTGTGGTTATAAAAGGACAACATTAGAGATTCTTGTGGTGATGGAATTATTCCATATTTTAATTGATGCAACTGGCATAAGAAGTAATGAAATTAAAGTTAAACAAAACAAATGCAGTTTTTATATACTATAAAACTGTTTATGATAAAGGAACAAAATCACAATCATACAGAGTTTGCACTGACAGATTTCTCAGCCCTTGCCATTTGAAACAGATGTGTGTACACTTGCATGAGTATTAACAAGCAAGAAATGTGCAATGAGAATCTTAATGAGACAGCAATGACTGCCTCAGTGTAAATGACTACTAATCAAATATTGAATTTAAGAATGTGACTTTCGGTGGCTCACGCCTGTAATCCCAGCACTTTGGGAGGCCAAGGCGGGCGGATCACGTGGTCAGGAGATCGAGACCATCCTGGCTAACACGGTGAAACCCTATCTCTACTAAAAATGCAAAAAAATTAGGCAGACTTGGTGGTGGGCGCCTGTAGTCCCAGCTACTCGGGAGGCTGAGGCAGGAGAATGGCGTGAACCCGGGAGGCGGAGCTTGCGGTGAGCTGAGATCAGGCCACTGCACTCCAGCCTGGGCGACAGAGCCAGATTCCGTCTCAAAAAAAAAAAAAGGATTGTGACTTTCTTTATGATGTTAATGCCGTATTGCTCTACTGATATGATAATGTACTTTAATTTTTGCCATTTTCTTCTTCGTCCTTGTCTAAGTTTTGCTTCTAACTAAAGTCCTTAACTCTTTGGCCATTTGATATTATTTGGTTATGGAATGGCAATTGTCTCGAAAACATGAGAAACTGTGATAAGTTTGTACTTCCAAAGGGAAAGCGGTTGCTAAAGAACAGAGAAAACAACCAGAGGTCTGCCTTGGAGCTAGGCTGCCTTGGGTAAGACATTCACTCGTCATGGGGAGATGAGAGGCTGCTCTAAACACGGCAACACAAGCTGTAGAGACAACACAGATAACATTTCTTGACAATCTGCTTCGCCTATCCCAGACAAGTGTGGACAGTAATTGGTATTTAAGTATAAATGCATTACTATGGCAATTATACTAATCAAAATGAGAAATCTACCAATATTTCTCGCTTTACCTTCCTGCTATCTACCCATGAGCTGAGTGGCTCCCCCATCATTTGCAATGACTTTCCACTGCATCTATGCTTCACCTTGACAGGCTTGGCATTACTGCTTACTGCACTCCTGCCCGTATTTTATGATCCTTCATGATTATTATCATTACTGAAAAGGATATTATTTCCCCATTTTAGAACATCTATAATTTTTTTGGTCCTTTCCTTAGGATAATTTTTATTCTATTGACTCCTGTATTTTGCTCAAGTATATATTTTTTTCATGTGGAAGTGACATCAGGCAGAACAAGCAAAGCCATGTGGCTACAGGAGACATACGTTTTGCTTGCCTGAATATGACCAAGCTTACCTGAGATACAAGAAGCCTGTAGAGTCTAAGCATATCCCAAGGGTGAGTTCTTAGCTCACAGCTTAAAATTACAACCTGAGTCCTTCTCCTTTACAACTCTACCATTGCCTACCATTCAAACCCTTACTCAACTCCTCCCTGACTCTTCCCCAAAGAGGATATTTCCTTGTCCATGTGTGGCTTCACCTTTGACTAAGAGCTTCCTCATTTGCCTATGACTTTCATGTCATTAACATAGAGGTGATGGGATGAGGCCAGCGAAGTTTAAACTCCGCCACATTTGGTCAACAGCAACTGTTTCTTAGCTCGTCTCACTGTTGTCCTCATAAGAATGTAAACATTTTCCTATATTTTTCTCCTCTTCATTTCATGGGTCTGCGACCTGTACATCTTCCCTGTACTGACTTAACTCATTCTATTATTAAATGTGTGTATATACCTATTCCTCACGTCTTACTCTTCTCCAAGACGGAAAGTTCTCCTCTGATCAATACTACCCAACATAATCTATCTCCTTTGCTCTTTCTTCTTATTTCCAAGATTAGATGGTGAGCTCCTTGTAGGAAGCTCCTGTGCCTCCCAAATCTTGATGTGATCTCCAGAGCCCAACAGTGCAATGAACATGACAGATAATCAATCATTTTATTGATTGAATATGAAACTTTTGTTAGTTAAATACAGTGAATTATCTTCTTTTGAAAAATTTATGAAGTCCTTTCTATAATATAGGCATTAGATTATATTTACAAAATCAGCTTTCTGTCCTGGTCATGGAGGAACCCAAACTTGTCTTTATCTTGAGAGAAATAATGCTAAAAAATAAACTGACAACCAATGCTCAAAAATAATTGAAAAAAGAAAACAGAATTTCTGATGTTAAGATAATATTGATTGAAGAACAGTTAATATGTAATTTTGAAGGTCAAGTCAAGCATAACAATCAGAGACTTAGAGGTTTAGTCCAGCTGCATCATGCATCTGAGGTCTGAATACTGGAAAGAGATCCACGGGAAAAATGAGTGGTATGAAATGTAGATGGATGCCCTTTCACCAGTTGCTTAGTGGAATAACAGGATAATAAACTGGTGGCCATTTAACACATGGACAAGTTGGTATAAATGACACTTTCGTATTGGTGTGATGGTGGCTGGCTCATGGTTGATAGTCCAATATGAGGTTCAATAAGAGGATCCACAGCAGCTGGGGCGGCAGCAAGTTGTACGGCAGCAGGTGGTCTGACAGCAGAGTGGGCGGCAGCAGCTGGACACACCACAGGTGGGGCGGCAGGTGGTCTGACAGCAGACTGGGCGGCAGCAGCTGG